TAGGCTGCCATAGCTGACCTCTTCTTTTCAGAGTGTTAGTGTAATTTAAAGCAGAACTCCAGCTATAGACACAAAACACTGCCAACCCCCATTATATTCCTTAAAAAGAGAACTATGGGGTCAGGGCTTTTCAACATTTTGTGAGTCCTGGACCCACAACAAGGATAGAGAATAGGAATTCCGGCACGCATGTACCATACCTGTGACTCTGGTGTATTTAGGCCAGGCAGCAGGCATTTTCAGAAGACTGGTAACAATAACAGGTGCCCTTTACCTCCTACACTTCACTGTAATAGTGCCCCCATTGCAATACCATCTCCGACCCTCAAAGACATATAATACATGGAAGCAAGCAGTGTTATCAGTAACACTTCCTGGAACCAGGACAGGAGGTGACCAGCATACTCTCCCCCATATACCATACAGGGCAATGTCCAACCTTTCCATCTATACAGCTCTGCCATGTACAGTAACACAAAGTGTGCCCACCATGCTCCCTATGAACAAAGTTTCCTCCATACACATACCTGAATGGGGGGAACCCCTGTGCCTGCACTGTCACGGCGCTGTCTCTTTAAATTCAGATCAGCTCATGTCAACTCTTCCTACAGGGTTATTAGATGCTGCGACCAATCAGGTGACAGATTGTAAGGCCACGCCTCCATTCAGCCAATAGGACGCTGGTGACGCTCAGGCCATGCGTGGGCTCAGTGGAGGATTGGCTGTAGTGGTAGCTATAGTAACTGAGCCTCCGCACATTAGATTACGTCGTGTTAAAGTTAAACATTGTATTGACAATCAATGAGCAGCACGTGACGAGGGTGTCTCGGCTTCTAGTCAGCGGTCTGTCATTGTGTCTGTCACTGAATTACAGCAGCTGTAGCCACAAAGTTTATATAAGGAAGCAGAAATCTGCATTAAAGAGACCGTGCCTGAAAGTTCCTTTCAAGAGAAGAGCCATTGTATTCACCTGTGGCTCCTGCTTTCCCTTCATTCCTGCAGTGTAGCCTCCATAAGCGCCCTTGTGTTGTGCTGTGAGTAGGGCACAAACATTGTCATGTTAGTCCCAGTTCACACCTAGGTGTTCCGCGAACGCACACAAGAATGCGCACCTTGATGCAGGTTTGCAGAACGCGTCAAACCCTCAACTGTGATATTTACATATGAATGGGCGGCGCTATGTACATATGAATAAGCTACGACTTATTCTCCCCAAAAAATGTATGCGCGTCGCTAGAGTGTTCGGGTTTGGCTTGAAGAAAAGGTGGCAACCCTACATGTGGCAGATTGCGCTGCATGAGCTTTTCCTGTGTTTGACATGCATGTGGCACCCGTTGAAATCAATGAGATGCGCGTCACACACTGGACGGAAAAAAAAACGTGAGACTATAAGTGAATTCATGCTATGCCTAGGTGTGATTGGGGCCGCATTAAGGCTACCTGTTATTGTGAACGGACTCCCAACACGTCCCAGTGGACTGAAACTAGAACCTGCAGCAAGTTTGGTCAGTGCACTGCAGCTCAGAGTAATGTGTTACCGCATGTTATAGTGCATATCGGGGCATTGGGGTGCCATTCACAATGAATTGCACTATGGCTCTACAGCGCAAGTAATGTGCGTTTAGTACACAGCAGTGCACACACTACCACAACAAACTGGTGTGAATGACAACTAAGACCCGACACTTCTGAAATAGTCTGATGTCTGTGTCCTGTCCTGGCTCCTTCCTCCAACCCCTACACCACTTCTAGGCCTGTAATGATGTTGAATGCCCAAGAGGCTAATGTAGGCTGGAGGAGAGGTGGGAGATACAGGCCATCGGAGAGGTGGGAATAAGGGCCCATTCACACCAGGAGGGTTGGGGCAGTGCTGGCAAATCGCCTTGTTTACAATCAGCCCAGTTCACAGCACTGCACTGTGGTGGTGTGTGCGGGGAAAAAAAGCACGGTCCGTGATACTTTTGTCAGCACAGTGTGGTACAACGCAATACAACCTCATCACACCACATTGTGGCTGATAAAACTGACCAAAAAAAAAGTGTCAGTTGTGACTTTTCAATAAAGTTGGATGACAGGGAGAGGCACCAGATGTCTAATAGTCCCCGGATGTCTAAATAAAGAGAACCTGTCACCTCCAAAGGCTATCACATAGGGGCTTGTTAGCCCCTTTGTGAAAGCAATAAAGTTAAGCGGAAAGAAAATGTTTAAAAAATATATATATATAAAGTTGGGGAAAATCTGCAATGGGGCAGAGAAAAAATATGACTGAGGTTCCAGCCTACCTGTATCCTATTAAAGAAAAAAAATATTTCTGCCTGTGTTGCTGTTGGAGAGTTCCCCTCACTGGTCTGGTACACTTTGTCAACAGGATAGAAAGTGAGGGCAAATCTCAGAACTAGAAATGAGTAAAAACCTGACAGGGGTTCTAACCTTCCCCACTCTATACAAAACAAAGATTAATAATGATTGGGCTGAGGGTTATATGTACTTGGCCCTTTCTCTTGTGGCACAGTAATTGAAGCATATTTTGTGGGTATGCGGTCTGTGGCATATGTGTAGTGCAGGGACGGGCAACTCCGGCCATCCAGCTATTGTGGAACTACAAGTTCTATGAGGTTTTGCAAGACTGACAGTTACAGGCATGGCTCCCAGAGGTAGAGGCATGCTGGGATTTGTAGTTAAAGCATGGCTGGAGGGCCAGAGTTGTCTATCCCTGGTAGTTTATACTAGGGATGCACCGATAGCGGTATCGTTATCAGTGCTGATACTGGGTGTTTTCACAAGTACTCGTAAAAATGTGCCGATACCAGCGCTTTACATTTTTAACCCGAAGGCAGCGCTGTAAACAGATGCTGAGGTTAACAGGGAGGGTCCCCAGCAAGGTCCCCGCAGCCCTTCTGTGAATTGTGGCGTCTGTTTACAGCGCCGCCTGAAAATCTCCTTCCTGTCCATCCACGCCACCTGCACAGAAGACCAACCGAGACCCCTGGTGAGACCACACAGCCCTTCTAAGACCCTGCACAACCCACTATAGACCCCGCATAGGCCACCTGAGAGTCTGCACAGCCCACCATAGATCCTGCATGGCCCACCTGAGAGTCCTCACAGCCCACCATGGACCCCGCACAGCCACCTAGGATCCTCTGCTGGAGACATAGGGCCAGCACCCCAGAGCAGCACAGAGGATGTAGCTTCATATTATTCTGCATTGATGTATAATGCATTGCTGGGATTTGTAGTCCTCCATAGCCAGTTTACATTTTGATATTGCTGTATAATGTATTGCTGGGATTTGTAGTCCTCTTTAGCTGATGGTATTATTCTGCATAATGAGCAAGGTGCACATGTGATACACAACTCTGGTCTTATTTTTCATACAAGTCTTTTTTGCCAGATCTTTCAAATCTGTAGTGTATAGGCATCAACATAATCTGCTGTAATAGCTGAAATGACGTTTTTATTATTATTCAGTAATAATTTTAGGTATAACATACACCACACCGTCATTCATTAGGTTTATACATATACAAATAAACAAATGAAGAATAGAATCAGTAGAATTCGGTTTTGGGCTGTGGAATAGAAATATATATTTCACCAATCTCTTCAATGATACTTTGTAACATGGCTGACATTGCTGGGGTGCTGGAGGTTTATCCTGGGAAGATTCTGCCTCCTAGTGGACACATTGCATTCTGCAATATGCTTCATTATAAGTTGGATCCTAGTATAGTTATTATTTATTAAAGATATTCACATCGCACCAACATTTTATATAGCGCTTTACATATTGTACATTCACATCACTCCCTGCCCTCAAGGAGCTTACAATCTAAGGTCCCTATCTCACATACTAGGGTCAGTTTAGGCAGGAGCCAATCAACCTTCCAGCGTGTCCTTAGGTCCCCATACACTGTGCCATTATCGCACGATAAGCGCGGGTAATCCCACGATCATACGATAATCGCAAAGTGTATGGCAGGCGAGCGACCGTTTTTACTGTACGGTCGCACGTCTTTTGTCTAAGGAGCATGTCCGAAAACCAGCTGCAAATCTTACGATTTTCGGCTGGTTTGTGGCATGCTCCGGAGACAAATGCCGAACGGGCCGGTGTGCGCACGCGCACACTGCCCGTTCAGCATTGCGGTCATCGTAATGATCGCAAGTACGATCTGCCTGTCCAAGATGGGCAGATCGTACGTTTTTTTATTTACTTTACAACCATCGCAAGACATAGGTCTTGCGATGGTTGTAAAGTGTATGGCCCCCTTTTGGAGTGTGGAAGGAAACTCGAGCACCTGGAGGAAACCCATGCAAGCACAGGGAGAACATGCAAAATGTATGCAAGTAGTATTCTGGCTGGGATTCAAACTGAGGACCCTAGTGCTGAAAGATAGGGGTACTAACCACTAAGCCTATTGCAGATACCTTCTAAATAAGGCTTTACGGTGTTTCACACTGGTTTATGGAGGTCTAATTGGTGTCCTGTCTGGTTATAGTTCCTATTTGTCTCCAAGCCCTACTCCATAGAAGCTATGACTTCTATACACTGCAGGAATGATGACCAGCAAGCTTGAAACAGCTGCATACAGTTTAGAATAAATTATATTATAATGTTTAGCTGTATATGTGCTATTTACCAGTGGTTCTGGATATACTGTTGAGCGAGAAGCAGAAATACATTTTCTGGCCCTACCCAATATCCTAAAATAATTAATACACATACTCTGCTTCACGCTGGTTCAGTGGAGGGCTTTCTGACTTCTTTAAGCCCATGTCACTGTAATCAATCTATCTATACTTTCAAACTGTAACCTACATAATGTTATGTAGAGGATATTTCCTTGAAATTCTATTTAGTTAAAAGTTAAAACAATTTTTCAATACAGTTCTTACGTGATGGCACCCTGCCCGTGAGAGCTTACAATCTAAAAGCTAAGTATTCCTCTGAACACACGATATTCTTTATCAACTGGGGAAGGACAGTACAGCGTTTATCATTTTCTTCATGCCCGTGGTTATATATATATATATATATAATGTATTTCTAACATTCATTAAAATAGTCCGACAGTGACATCTCCTGAATAGGCGAGGATAACCTAAGACATGTTAGCTCACCACTTGGTCTGACATTCACCGTGACATTAGTTGTCCTCATCCAGTTCCAGAAGTCACTTAGACCACAGGTACATACAGGTGTCACTTGTGACAGATCAAGGGTCTGCAAGGAAGTCAGAGATTGAAAACTAGAAGATGAGAGAGTAACAAGATTGTTGCTTCCTAGATTTAGGGTTTTCAGTTCTTTAAGGCCAGTGAAGAGTTCTCCTTGGATAAGTCTGAGGTTATTTCTAGACAGATCTAGAAAACTGAGGCCCTTTAAACCACTGAACAATTCTTCAGGTATAGAGGTGATTTGATTCTTTGAGAGGCTAAGAATTTCAAGTAACTCTAGATTTGTAAAGATGTCTGAACACTGTCCGGAGTTCCAAATCTGTCCCAGATCATTATCAGACAGATCCAAATAATGAAGCTTAGACTTGCTTATGGATTTGCTAGCAGCAGAACAACAGGAAAGTTTATTACTACTTAATAGCAGGGTTTTCAGAGATTCCAACTCTAGAATATGCCACAAGGACTTCAGATCAGTTAGTCGGTTGCTTGAGAGATCCAGGAAAGTGCAGTTAGGGCAGAAGGCGGTTAGGCCATAGATGTCTGAGATACGGTTTTGTTTAAACAGTACTAGAGTTAAAGCTGGAAGTTTACCTTGAGGTATATTCTGTAAAGCATTGTCCCTTAGGTTCAGGGTTGATAGGGAGGCAAGACCATCCATTGCTCTAAACTGTATAGCTCCAATATTATTTACACTAAGATCCAGGGTTTGAAGAGGGGAAGCCCACAGACTTTCAAAACTGTTGACTGTAATGTCTCCAAGGATATTTGAAGACATATTGAGGCTCACCAGTCCTGTTAGACCTGCAAATGATCCTTTGCTGATGCTGCTAATTTTGCTGAAAGACAGATCAAGGGACAATAGCTCGGAAAAAGCAGAAAATACACCAGGGTTTAGCTGTGACACAAAACTATGGGACAAGTCAAGATGATAAACATTACTGGAGTTGAGACCTTCAAAAGTTTTGTTATCTGGGTTTTTTATATTACTAAATCCAAATCCGCTTCCTAGCACCGCACTATGGCTCATCTTAACATTCTTTACCGGAGTACCTGAAATTGTCCTGAAAAATTGTCCAAACTTCTCTGCACTCCAGCTCATTAATGATATATCTAGGGTGCCCAATGTTATGTTCACAAAAGGGTTAGCGCAAAGGGACGTATTGGACACTTGTAGCGGATTATACGAGAGGTCAAGGAGCTCCAGCCTTCTTCCTTTAAAGTTCTGGAGGTCATTTCCACACAGTTCATGGATTTTGTTGAATTTTAAAATGAGGGTAGAAAAGGACTTCAGCCTTAGAAAACTGGGATCAGGTTGAAGCCTGTGTATGTTGTTATAAGAAAGATCAAGCATTCTCAGAGAGAACAGTTCACTAAATAAACTGGATTCTAAAACAGATTCATCGAGTCCATTAGAGTCTAGAAGAAGGACTTCAAGTTGATACAGACCTTTGAAGGCTTCTGGATGCAGGCTGACGTTGCGGTTACCTCCAAGGTCAAGAGTATTAAGGTTAGGTAGGTTGTAGAAAGCACCTTTCCCTACGTGAAAAGGCCCTTTTATGTTCTGACCCCCCAATGACAGGCCTTGGAGCTTTGGGAGGGTCGGGAAGGAGTCATTTGAAATGGACGAGATATGGTTAAAAGTCAGCAAAAGTACTTGGATGTCTGGAGGAGCAGCGGGAACTGATAACAGACCTTGGGCCTGGCAGGAATAAACAGCACGAGACTGGGCCATAAACATGTTACACTCCGAAGAATCAGACATCAAAACTGTACAAGAAAGAGTGGCAAGCAGCAAGAAGACAGATGGAAGGGCCATGTTACCTGTAACAAGAAAAGAAAAAGAAGCATATTCTTATCATCATCATCATCATTATTATTACTACACAGGCTTTATATAGCGCCAACAGTTTGCACAGCGCTTTACAATATAAGGAAGACATTACAATCACAATATAATTAAAAGCAAGATGCTAAAGACTTGTCTAAAGAAAGCGTTAACTAAGTCAATACAAAATACTGTGCTAAACAGAGAAGGTAAAGCATTGCCATGAGCTGTAGTGCCGTTCACATTGCTGTAACCCATAGCAACCTTACATTTACGTTTATTGTTGTATGGTCAGTGAAAAGATTGTTTGAGTCATTGCTACAGTTTGCTGCAACCTGCATGCCACTTGTATTTAGACAATATTGGGAGTTCAGCTTTCAACTGGCCATTCAAGAATACCTGGTAATCCTGTAATAGAGGTCCTTGTTCAGACACTTCTGTTGTAGGGTGACAACACTCTGTCCCTTTTTCCAAATAAGCTCTCCTGCGTTGTAACTCTTTACATGTGTGACGATGCCAATGCCGTAATGCAGTAATGCGGGCTGAACGAGAGACCACGGCTCAATTCCTCCATCTGTGCTAAACAGCATGGATGGAGGAATCTCCCTTGCCGGGAGTACAGTATTCTGCCTGCGACAGTCAAAATACTCAAACAGTATATTTGTATTTGTGTTTCTTGTAAAACTCATTAAAAAGAATAGCAATGTGTATGTAGATTGTAGAGTGGAAACATCTGGCAAGCTGTCAGCCAAATGTTCCGGTGTATCCCTTTCTGTAAAGGACCTTTCAGAAAGGGTTTTTTTTTGCCTTCCTCTGGATCAACAGGGGGTAGCTGTGGGCATAGCGTTCCGTTTAGGCTTTTCTTCTTTTTAGGAGATTCATATCTCTATAGGTTGAACTTGATGGACTTGTGTCTTTTTTCAACCTGACTAACTATGTAACTTACAACGGGTCTTATGCTAATGACAAATACTTTGATACATACACTTCAGCTATGGGGCTATTTATTTAGGTTACACAGTTAGTCAGGTTGAAAAAAAGACACATGTCCATCGAGTCATAACAGAGATATGAATCTAAAAAAAACCAGAACGTTATGCCCCCAATTACCCACTGTTGTCCCCCCCCCCCCCCTCCCCTATAAAGCATGGTTCAATTTGCTTCAACAGGGGGGGAAAATTCCTTCCTGATCCCATCATAAGGCAATCGGATATTCCCTGGATCAACAATCTCTGGTGCCTATAAGAACTCAATATCCAGTAATATTCTGTGCATTTTAGAATACATCCAGATGTTTTTTGAAACAAGTAACTGAGCTTGCTAGAACTAGTTCTTGGGGGAGTCTATTCCACATTTTCACAGTCCGAACTGTGAAGAATCCTTTCTGTATGCAAAGGTTAAACCTCTTTTCCTCCAGATGAGTGCCCCCCTTGTCCTTTGCAGTGACCTTAACCCCTTCATGACTGAGGTCGGAGCCCGGGAAGCACGGCGGGGGGGTCCGGCGGGGGGGGGGGCGGCCCCTTCTTCGGGACGCAGAAGCGATCTGGCGACAGGTAAGTCGCCAGGATCGCTTCTGTTGTAAAGCCGACAGTCGGCTCTACAAGTTTAAACAGAGTCCCGGCAGCAAAAGTCGCCGGGAGTCTGTTTAAACAGCCCCGATGCTGGCGACGTACACTGTACGTCGTCAGTCACGAAGGGGTTAAAGTGAAAAATTTGGCGCCAAGCTCACTATAGGGACCATTTATGTATTTATACATAATGACCATGTCCCCGCTTGATCACTATATATTTATACATAGTTGACTGCCAGATGACCCCGCTCGGAGCGCCGCCCACCGGAGCAGCAGTGACGCGACGATAGGCGAGGTAAGTAAAAAGAAATGACGCTGACTCGAGTATAAGCCGAGGGGGGCACTTTTCAGCAAAAAAAATGGGCTGAAAATCTCGGCTTATACTCGAGTATATACGGTATGTCCCCACTTAATCACCACTTCTCCAGACAGAACTAATTCTGGTCAGTTAATCTACCCTCATAGCTGAGCTCCTCCATGCCTCTGATCTATTTAGTTGCACTTTCTCCAGTTCCACAACATCCTTTTTGTGAATTGGTGCCCAAAATTGAACTGCATATTCCAGATGAGGTCTTACTAATGCTTTGTACAGGGGCAGGATTATGTCTCTATCTCTGGAGTCTAGACCCCTTTTAATACAAGAAAGTATTTTGCTTCCTTTAGAAACTGCTGCTTGACATGGCATGCTATTATTGAGTCTATGATCTACCAGAACACCCAGATCTTTCTCAATCATTGACTCCCCCCAAACATACTCCCCCTAGAGTGTATGACGCATGCATGTTTTTAGTCCGCAAGTGCAGAACTTTACATTTATCAACATTAAACCTAATTTATTCGCTTACTACTTATGATAACAAAGTGATAAATATATTGGATTTTTGGAATAATTCTCCAATTCAGCTCACTTTCCAGTTCAGCTATGTTGTCCTAGATTGTTTACATCTCCTGCCCTCTCCAAACTCTGAACCCTCTTGTGAATAACCCTGTGAGTCTATGAGGTTGGATAGCACTCCTCTGCCCTCACGATAGGTTCTGGTAGCCCCAGCTTTTTTTAGGGTCCCTCATGGCAGATCAGTTTCTATGCTCCCTGTACAGCACTATTGGGTTTATTTAAATAGTTAAAGCTGTGTAGAGTGACTGGTTGCCATGGGTTACTACATGTCTCACACAATCAGTATTTATTTGTAGGCTATGGTCCTCACATATTAAAGTGTCCATACTAAGACCTGGCTGTGTCACTTAGCTGTCATCAATCAGAATCAAATTTGTCCTGGAAATGAACTGAAATCTTAAGGTTTTATTCTGATGGATGTTTGCTAACATTAAACACTTTGGTGCATGAGCCGCCTTGTGACATGAGCTGACAAAGTAATAAGGATTTGTACTTACTGATCTGTCTCTGCCACAAGACTGTGAAACTGGTGCAGTCTCCAACAACCCGAACTTCCACTGCTGGAGTGTTTTAGTCTCTGCTGATCCTCTATTTAACTATTTGGCAGATGCAACTCGTTAATGAGGAAACAAACTGCTGACGTCAGAGCAGTAAATTCATGTTTGGCAACACAGAGTAGGAAATTCCTAAGGAGATTCCCACACCCTGACCTAAGCCCCATCTACTACTACTACTGCACAAATGTCAATAGGGTTCTCTCTCTAATACATGTGGAGGCACATAAATTCCACACCCTGCTGCCAATTAATACCAAGGATACCAACGTGTTATTGAACAAACAGTACCCCAGCAGCCAGCACTGCTTTATTTCAATTTTTTTACTGGAATTGACTTTGTTCTACAATCCTGGGCAACATCTTGTCAAGTCTCACTGTATGATTAATCTCAGTCCCCAGATACTGCAAATACAAAGGTGAACTGTAGCTTTAAGAATGACCTTGCTTGGATTGGCTTTATCACTTTATAACACTTGATGCTAAAGCTGGCCATGCACCTATAGATTTTCTGCAGATTTTCTATAGTCAGATGGAAAAAGTGCAACAATTCCTCCATCTACACTAAACCTGTGTGGATGGAGGAATCTCCCACTGGGCCAGGCTTCAGTATCTTGCTAGTCGGCCCCGCTGGCTCTCAAAATACCTGAAAAATGCCGGCATCCAATCAGATTGTTCAGGTATTTGGAGAGCCGACTAGCGAGATACTGAAGCTTGGCCCAGCAGGAGATTCCTCCATCCACATCCCTTTGTTTAGCGTAGATGGAGGAATCTGTTGCACTTTTTCCATCTGACCATAGAAAATATGCAGATAATCTATACGCATATGGCCAGCTTTGGAATGAAACATTTAAAGCTGCAGTAACAATGCAGAAGGGCTCATGCTTGTGGCCGTATGAAAATATGGCAACTAGTATGCAGGATCTTGCTGGCAGAAGTGGGCAGCAAGTTCCTACCAAAAAAAGTGTTTTGTGTGCGTTTTGCTTGTAGCACTGTGCAACATTTACATGCATATAGCACAAAGGTGCCCTATTGGTTGCTAGAACGCTAGGCAGCTTGAACTGCCTACTTCCAAGCTATGAAGGATGCTAGGTGGCATGGAGCTGGCTGCTTTCCAAGCAACAAAGGACGTTAAGGGGCTTGAGATTCCTACATCCTAGCAATCCTAGGACCTTAGGTGACTTGAGCCGCTGTGTCCTAGTAATAATGGATTCTATGTGGCTTGAGCTTCCTCAAGGTCCCCACACACCTTACGATAATCGCGGGAAATCCCGCAATCGTACGATTATCGTAAGGCGTGTGGAAGCCGTGCGACAGCTACTACTGTAAGGTCGCACAACTTTAAACTTACGGACATGTTCAAAAACCCGACGAGCATCGTACGATAAAAGCCGTACGGGCCGGTGTGCGCAAGCACACACTGCCCGCTTGGCATTGCGGTAATCGAAAGCCCGCCCCTCAGGGGGCGTGGCTTGCGATCATCGCAAGTACGATATGCCTATACAAGATAGGCAGATCGTAAGTTTTTTGAAGTACCTTACAACCATCGCAAGACAAAACAATGCCTAACAATTATGGACATCCACCTCTGCACACCAGGTCCCCCAGGGCAGGATTTCACCACAAGGCCAACCAAGGCCCAGCCTTGGAGCAGCAGGCAGTAGAGGGGCAGCAGGGGTGTGGAATTCCTATCTCCCAATGCCCGGGACATGCAGTTCCGGGTGCCGGGCGAGTAGTTGTTTGCTACATTTAGCCCTGCTCTGGGCAAGCAGAGCTAAATATGCAGTGGGCAAGCCGCCGCTTGTTTTGTACAAGTGATCCCAGCAATGTCGCCGAGATTACTTGTATGCATCCTGCAGATCTGCCATTCTCTATGCGGGAGTTGGCGGGTAGGGGGGCGCATTGAGGAACCTGGCCTTGGGGCAGCAGAGAGAGTAAATCCAGCC